CCGCCCGGGGAGGGGGCTCCTGCACCCCGGGTTGGGTTTGGTGTTGCCTCTTGAGCAGGAGGAGGAGAACAACCCCGCGGTGACACGGCCACGGGAACCTTCTGCCACCGGCCACCCTCCGCCGGGGCCAGCAGCCATGGGCTCCCGTTCCAAATTCGGTGCTTCCCACCCCAAACTGGCCGTAGATGGCTCTGGGAGTGATAAAGAAACACCTCATTTCCTTCAAAGGTAAAAAGGACAGTAAAGACTTTGCAGTGGCATCATGTTTTAGGGTTGATTTGTTTTGTTAGGGTTTTTTTGTTTGTTTGTTTTCTTTGTTCTTTTATTTAGTGGTGAGAGCCTGGCCCAGGTCGCCCCGAGAAGCTGTGGCTGCCCCATCCCTGGTTCAAGGCCAGGTTGGAGGGGGCTTTGTGGGTCTAGTGGGAGGTTGGGAGTTGGAACTAGATGGTCTTTAAGGTCCCTTCCAACCCCAAACCATTCTGTGATTCAGGCTTATGATTTGCTTGACTTTTGATAGCACGTGCTGGGCCATCGAGTGACTCCTGTTGTAAAAGTGACATAGTAGGAAGATAAAAACCAAGGACTGGGTTATTCTATGGTGAGACTTCTGTATGTTGGTCATACCATCCTTCTTGGCATGAGCCTGACCACGTGTACCTTGGTGTAGTGGTGTAGTGACCACATGTAGCTTGGAAATAGCAGAAGCACTGGCCCCACAAGCTCTGTATTGCAAATGTTGGAGAGCAAAGGACTCTTGGGTCTTGGCTGGCCCCTCACAAAGAGGGAAGAAACCCAACAGGCAAGTGTTTAGAGCAGAAGGTTGTTTCAAGTCAGCCTGACCTGAAGGTATTTTCTCCAGGAGACTGGGAGGACCATGAACAGGGATTAGAGAAACCAATGCTGTTAGCTTTGATCTCCAAGAGCATTTAAAGGACTGTGAAGTCTCCAGAAGTCCAGAAAATGGCAAACCCTGCCTATTTTTAAATAGAGGGAAACAAAAAATCGGGCACTAAAGAGCAACCTGAGTGGCTTTAGTCCCTAGAAGGTAACAGAGCTTGCTTGTTTCTGTGCTAGACATAGGAGCACTTGGAGATCTAGGGAGAAATAGTGAATCATAGAATTGCTCAGGTTGGAAGGGACCTTTCAGATCACTGAGTCCAACTATCAACCCAACATTGACAAAACCATCATGAAACCTTATCTCTAAGCTCTACATCTACCCATCTTTTAAATACCTCCAGGGGTGGTGCCTCAACCACTTCCCTGGGCAACCTGTTCCAAGGCTTAATAACCCTTTTCAGTGTACAGTTTTTTCCTAATATCCAATCTAAACTACCCCTGGTGCAACTTGAGGCCATTTCCTCTTGTCCTATCGCCTCTTACTATCCCCACTTCAGCTCTAGCTGCAGTGGGGAGAAATAGTGAATCATAGAATTGCTCAGGTTGGAAGGGACCTTTCACATCCTCGAGTCCAACTATCAACCCAACATTGACAAAACCATCATGAAACCTTATCTCTAAGCTCTACATCTACCCATCTTTTAAATACCTTCAGGGATGGTTGCCCACTTCCCTGGGCAACCTGTTCCAACGCTTAATAACCCTTTTCAGTGTACAATTTTTTCCTAATATCCAATCTAAACTACCCCTGGTGCAACTTGAGGCCATTTCCTCTTGTCCTATCGCCTCTTACTATCCCCACTTCAGCTCTAGCTGCAGTCTCACATGGCATTCTCTTAAGCAATGTGAGAGGAAAAACTGGGTGAAATTATTACAGGCTGGGTGAGTAACTTGAAAATTGTGTTGCAAGATCTTGGCAGAATCTGGTAATATTTAGTGTTTCCGTAATTGACCCGAGTGAGGGTCAAGAGAGTCTACTAATTAAATCTGAAGGTACTACCAAGGCAGGAGAGGCTGTGAGCATCTCAGAGCAGAGAGGCAGAATTCAAAATGGTCTTGGTAAGTTGGAGAAACTCTCTGGCACTTGCAGGATGCATTTCAAGAGGAATTTTGCATCCGTCCTAGTAATCAGCTGCAGAAATGCAGGACTGAGGTGGGCAACTGGTGTGGGGAACCACCACCTGACCCCTTGGTATGTGCCCCCCTCACCCCCTGCCCTGGTGAAGGCACGTCACGGCGTTCACCCCCACTGGTGAGGCCTCACCTTGAGTACTGTGTCCAGTTTTGGGCCCCCTACCAGAAAAAAGACATTGAGGTGCTGGAGCGGGTCCAGAGAAGGGCGACAAAGATGGTGAGGGGTCTGGAGAATAAGTCTTATGAGGAGAGGCTGAGGGAGCTGGGGGTGTTCAGCCTGGAGAAGAGGAGGCTGAGGGGAGACCTTATTGCTCTCTCCAACTCCCTGAAAGGAGGGTGTAGAGAGGTGGGGGTTGGTCTCTTCTCTCAAGTCCCAGGCGACAGGACAAGAGGAAATGGCCTCAAGTTGCACCAGGGGTAGTTTAGATTGGATATTAGGAAAAAATTGTACACTGAAAAGGGTTATTAAGCGTTGGAACAGGTTGCCCAGGGAAGTGGGCAACCATCCCTGAAGGTATTTAAAAGATGGGTAGATGTAGAGCTTAGAGATAAGGCTTTGTGAGTTGGACAAGATGATCTTTAAGGTCCCTTCCAACCTAGAAGATTCTGTGATTCTGTGATTCTGTGGGTGGAAATGAGCTCGGTGCAGCCCAGCAGAGATGGAGCCTGAAGCTTAGGAGGGACTGGAGAGCTGTGACCCCCTCACTGCCAGCCCAGATGGCTTGGGAGACGTGGGACCTGACCCAGGCTCAGTGGGCATCTCTCCAGCCATGGCATCAAAGCTCAGATCAGGTGCTCAGGGCCAGCGAGCCGTTCAGATCAGCCTGGTGTTTGTGGAAGGCAGTGGGAAGAGAAGGAATAGCAGGAAAGGATCATTTACACTACACAGAGGGGGAAAGCTACATTATTGGCAGCTTTTTATAAGACGAGCTTCTCAGAGCTGCTTACAGGCTCCAGCTATCAGCGTTTCATCTAATCTATTAAGAGACTGGTGGAAAAAAAATCCTCTCTCCCCTTTCCTTCCCCGCTCCCCCAATTCCCTTACTCTTTTTTTGAAAAAAGAATGTGATTAATTCTCAGCATGTGCAGCACAGAGCCTTGTTTTCAGCCGCGGGGACTTAGTCAGAGCCAGGTACCGTCCTGTCCCTGGAGTGGATTAACAGCAGCTGATCCACACGGTCTGTTTTACGCAGCTGCTCGGGGCTCCACAATTTGAGTAGGAGAGTAGGAGAAAATTACCCTGGTTTAAGCACTCGTCTGGCAGTCTGGTTTGCCAGCTACTGTCTCCAGAGATGGGGCTTCCAACTCATTTTGAAAGCCAGCAAGAATGCTGTCCCTTTAGTAGCTGCTGAGTTGTGTTACCCCTCTCTCCCACCCCCAGTGTAGGTTTGCCATCCTCGTGTGGATCCCAACGGAGTCTACTCATCTCTCTCTTCCAGCAGACCCAGTTTGGATGTGGGATTAGATCACTGTGCAAAGCCAAAGCTCTGTCCCATGTAGCACAGGCGAGGTGCTTCCATCTGCTCTGAATGGGACCGAGTCTTTTTCCAAACGTGGCTCTCTGAGCCACCAGCCCTGGAGAGGGTTCTCACAGGCCTTCAGCTCCACCTGGATTGCTGCATTCCCTCGGGAAGGGCTCGGGTTGGACCCAGGTGAGCAGGAGCACGGCTGTGCATCCCTCAGGTTGAGGAGAGCTGGTTTGGTGACACCCTCATCTGCTGGGAAGTTCAGACAAGGAAGGTACCCGTTATCCAGTGCAGCAAACTGGGACAAAACTACCCACCAGTAAAGTCTATTTCCAAACGTGGCTCTCTGAGCCACCAGCCCTGGAGAGGGTTCTCATGGGCCTTCAGCTCCACCTGGATTGCTGCATTCCCTTGGGAAGGGTTTGGGTTGGACCCAGGTGAGCAGGAGCACGGCTGTGCATCCCTCAGGTTGAGGAGAGCTGGTTTGGTGGCACCCTCATCTGCTGGGAAGTTCAGACAAGGAAGGTACCCGTTATCCAGTGCAGCAAACTGGGACAAAACTACCCACCAGTGGGTTTTAAGGCCGTGTGTCTTGACAGGGTGAGTTTGTCCAGTGATTTCTATCACCTGGTCACAGCTTTTTTGGTCCTTAAAATCTAACTGCTGGCACCACTTGCACTCAGCAAGGGGCTGGTACAGTGGAACCACTTCTACTACAGCCCTTTTACTCCAAGAAATCAATTCAAATTAGCCAAAGGAGGCCCTGAAGTGCATTAATGAAACTGCAGCGAAACCCTGTGTGGACAGAATATCCTTAATTTATTTATGTTTAAACTACCTGAGCAGCAAAGAGAGCAGGATCGAATTGTGACTGCAGGCCTTCTGCCTTCCCACAGGGATTAATGCCATTTATCTAATCCACTTAACTGTTAATTTATATTCATTATCTTAATTTTCCCTGTGGGTTAGTGCAGAATGACTCTTAATTCTCAGTGTGGAAACCCTTATTCCAGACTAACGGCGCCTTAATCCTAAACTAATTTAATCCTGGGGTGGATTAAACTAACCTGAAATAAGGCTTTTGACTTCCAAAAAAGAGAAGCCGTGCAGAGCACTAATTAGGACAGCTCTTTGCAAACTCACGGGCTCCAGTAATCCTTGTTCACTGTCACTTGTTCACTGAGTCCCAGGGCTCCTCTCTGCCTGCTGCTGCTCTGCCCACAGCACATCCCTTGGCAGAGCCAGCTCCTCACTGGCCAACTGGCATGGGCCAACTGGTTGGGCTTGGCCATTTGAGGGTGTCTCCAGGGGAATGGTGAATCCTGGACAGCAAAGGTTGGCAGAAAAACACCCTTTTTTTTTTTTATTGTTGGCAGGTATAAGCATTAGACACAATCCCTTTCTTGGATGAGAAGGACTGTCCTCCTGGCAGAGGAGAAGGAAGGTCTGTAGTA